GTGGAAAAACATAACATTACCTTATTTTTGAGGAGTATTCATCGAATGCAAGCATGATGAGTACACTAGTATTAATCTTCGAAACTGCTTGTTTTTGATTACTTATTAGATTGCGTGTGAGTAGTTAGTTAGTTCTCCACTAGGAAATATCTGGCGGTAGGTCAGGATAGTGACAGATACTATTTAGATTTTTCAATCAATTTATATAAGCTTACATATGTGAATATTCTTTCTCATTATTTTAAAAGAACACGGTTACATATAATCTATGAATCAATGTACAAAAGTGTTAATTGTCTCTCATACTGTCTAAAAGACTTCAAGCCTGAATTGTATACTATACTCATCAGGAAGAGTCACAACCACTCCCGATTTGGATTTGTGGTATTAATTTGAGAAAATCATTTGGTTTTTAATTAACCTAGAGCAATTGGTTTACCTGTATCACACAAATGTCCATCACTTAAGTAGAGTCGAGTTTAAACTCTTTCGATAAACTTTTCATAGCCGTAGTCAGACTAAAGTACCCTTGTAGAAAAATCCACTTCTGAGATGAAGAGAATCCCAAAATATATATGCTCTTTTCAGGATTGAAGTCCTTTGCTCTAACCAGCTGAGCTGCCTCTAAGTTACACTATTTACGAATATTCCTTGGCATTCGGCGATTGGTAGTATAGAGGAAGACTCAAACAAATCAACAGTTACACTATGTGGTACATGTAAACAACAAGTAAATATTTCAAAGTATCTAATCATTTATCCCCACTTGGGAAGGTAAGTACTAACCACTATCCATTGTTAAACATTTTTCCCCATCAACTACAAAAAAGTATACTCATAGAATCAATTTTGATAATGACAACATGAAATATTTGTCAAATTAAACAACGCAAGTTGGACTGTTTTTTGAAAGAAACTAAATTGAGAGAACAATAGAGTTCTTAATTAAGATAATAGTTATTTGATATGAATCACATGAAGTAACAAAAATAAAGGTATAAAAGAAACTTACTATTTCATTTTGATTTAAATATCAAATCAAATCATTTGTGTTGTATTTTTAAATTTATAAACCAAATCAAACTAATAAAACTCGAATTTTTCAACCTCAAATTTTTTGATTTTTTTTTGGGTTTTTTCCGGTAAAACTTTTTTGCATAACTTAAAAGTATGATATGCATGTGTAAATAAAACCAAATTTTACATGTTTCATCCATTGCAAACTCTTTAGTACTGACCACTTAGCTATCAGATTATAAGTAGTGATGATTCAATAGTAAATGTCCTTATAAATTTTGGATAAGATTAAAAAAATTGGGAAGAAAAAGTAGAATCTCCTCCTTCCCAGTAGAATATGTTTTTGACAAAGATTGGGATAAAATTTACATGATATAGGGTTCGATTTGTTTTATTTTCTTTTAAAAATTAACTAACAATAAAATAATAATTAAATATTAAATATATGAAAATTCAAAGAACATATTTTGTATTTTTTTTTCTCTTTCCTTGCAAATCAAAAAATACAAATATTATCAGTAAAATCTTTAAATTTTCTTACAACAATGTTTTAAAAATTCGTTATACAACTATATACAAAGTTTTGATTTTTTTATGATAAGGTTTAAAAATTGTCCTTTCTTGATTTATCAAATTGAACAAGTAATTAGGGACAACTAAAAAAAGAAATGTAGACAAGTAATTAGGGACAACTAAAAAAAGAAATGTAGACAAGTAATTAGGGACAAAGAAAATAGTATATAAGACTATACAAAATTATAAGAGGTGTTTATATACTCATATACAATACTAACTATACAATATTATTTATATACTCATACACAATACTATACACTACTATAAAAAAATTTGACTTCGTCTTCTTCCTTGAATTCAAACATTAGAACAATCCAAAACAACTCAAAAGTTATACCAAATCATCCTAAATTTCAGATTCATAGGGTAATTAATGGTAGGAAAGTCGCCACAATATTGCCTTTAGCTGCAATTAGGGGTGTCAAATAAATGGGTTGAGTTGAAATTGGAGATATTAAAGTGGGTTGAAATAGAAATTGGGTTCAGTCCTGACCCGCCCAAGTTTACTTTGGGCACAAATGAGCTTAAAAATAGGTTGGGTCTTGACCCCCCCAATTTGACCCGCATAATGTCAATAATTTTAATATATTGTTATTTAAGTTTTATAGCCACAATTTGAATTTCAACTTAAGAAAAATTAAAAAAAGAAGTTACAAATGGATAGATAAATTCTAAAAGATATAAAATAGATAGTAATTCATACTTTCAATACACAAATATTCATTACATCAATGCAAATAAAGAGTCATAAAACGGGTTGAAATTGGAGATTAAATTTGGCCCAATCGAGGATTCTCTTTAAAGGGGTTAAAGCTTGATTGGGTTAAGGTTGAACCAAATTTAAATTATTTTGAGCCCAACCCTCAAAATTATGAACGGATTACCTATATTTGGGCTCATTTTTGACACCCTTAGCTGCAACTCAGCAGTCGTAAAGAAAACTCGGTGGTTGATAATCTTCTATGTCGAAGATGAACGGTCACCACAATATGTTGCCACGAATAACGTTTAGTTCGGCGATATTTTTAATTTCAATTTTGATATTTTGTGGTATGATTGTTCGGTAACCATAGTTTGTGTGACTTCAACTTACATATATTGAGATAATAAAAAATATAACTTTAATTTTTTTTAAAACATCTCCATCATATTAGACTAAAACTATCTTTGTTAAATAACTTCATAAAAAATTATTTCAATAACCATCTAAAATCTAACTTGGCATATGTAGCTCCATGAGATCTAAAATACTTTTCAAATGACTTATTCCACTTCTCAAATTGTAGTGAAAATGGCTTCTGGATCACTTTGCAAAAGAAATAGTAGGAGCATATGTATTCTAACTTCTAATTCCAACTTCCAATTCAACTCTGGAGATAGATATTATTTTAGTAAATTGGTGATATATGCCATATTCGATGGCTCAAATATAATATGTAATCAAACTTTTGCAAAAGATTTATTTATTTCATCTGTCAAAAGTTTGGTTTATTTATGTCATTTTTATTTGAAAAAAAGTTCATCCATGTCATTATTTTAACTAAAAATAATTTCCGTTGCAAAATATTTTTTTACACGTGGTCAATTATGATTCGGCCACATCACTAATTAAATTATTTTTTAAAAGAAGAAATACTCAATTTTTTCATCGAACTTTGTCAAAAGGCTTATTTATGTTATCTGTTAAAAGTTTGGCTCATTTATGCCATTTAAGTTGACAAATAATGAGAGAAAATGACATAAATAGTCCCTTAATTATAGGAGTAGGTCTAAAATGGTCCCTTAACTATACACTTAATGGATTTAGTCCTTTAACTATTCAAAAACTTATCATTTTTGGTCCCTTAACTACACACTTACCGGTTTTAGTCTCTTAACTATAAACTTACCAATTTTAGTCCTTTAAGTATTCAAAAACTTATCAGGTTTGATCTTTGTCCATTTTCTTAATACAAATAGATTAGGTTTATATTAACGGAATCCATGCCTCGGGAAATTAAATCTTTTAGCAATTTTTTATATTGTTTCTCTCTCCGTTACTTTTTCTTCAAATTAACCTTGTGCGAAGAACCTTAACCTCAATGATTTAAAATAAAATTCAGGAGAAAAAAAAATATAAGTCATAATTTTATTCAGCAGATGATAAAATGAAGCATGTTATTGCTACTAATGACTTGAATATGCTAAAATTTATTATAGAAAAAATAAATATTACCCGTTAAATCCAAAGTTTGTACTCCAACGACTTCATTGATTTAATTTTTCAGAAATTGAAATTTATAAAATGGTAGATTTGTAATTTTTTAAATAGATCAATTTTATTATTCTATTCATTTTATTTTACGTAAAGAAATTAGAGTAAATAAAATAAAATCCGCACATATTAGCATATTCAAGTGCGGATTCAAGTCATTAACAACAATTATATGCGTAATTTTATCCTCCATTGAATAAAATTAGGATTTATATCTTCTTTCCTCATTAATTTTATTTTGAATCATTGACGTTATTGTTCTTTTCATAAGAATAGTTTGAAGAAAAAAGGGTGGGGATAGAGAAACAACTTAAAAAATGGGTTAAAGATTTAATTTCACGAAGATTTTCGTTAATATAAACTTAAGCTATTTGTATTTAAAAAATAGACAAAAACCAAACCTGATAAATTTTTGAATACTTAAAGGACTAAAATCGGTAAGTTTATAGTTAAGAGACTAAAATTGATAAGTTTATAGTTAAAAGACCAAAGCTGATAAGTTTTTGAATAGTTAAAAGACTAAATCAGTTACGTGTATAGTTAAGGGACAATTTTAGACCTACTCCTATAGTTAAGAGACTATTTATGTCATTTTCTCTAAATAATGACATGATTGAGCCTTTTCTCAAATGGAAGCCAAACTTTTAACGGTGGCATAAATGAGATTTTTATCAAAGTCCAATGACAAATTTGAGTTTTTCCTTTAGATATAATATATATATATATATGAATTCTACATATTACTATAGAATACTGTAATAAATACCAAATTTTTTAAAAACGTATACCAAATATCACAATATACATTTTCCAATATAAAAAATATTTAATTTCAATATGATATTCCGTATATACTATACCATACTATGCCCACCTAAATCGAAGTATAGTTGAAAAAAAAGGAAGGAATATTATACATATAGTAGAGGCATGTCAAATAATAAAAAAAAGAAATACTACAAGAGAAGGTTTGAAAGAAGACAAAAAGAGGTCCAAGAGCCTTATCGCCATGGTTTATGTTTATGTGACCTTCTCTAACCATTACACCAACCAAGAAAATTACAGCCCCTATCAATCATGAGCTCATTCACCAACAACAAACATAAAACACCAATCTTGAAAAAACCCAAAAAGCAAACCCTACCCTAAACCCCCCTTTTCCCTGTTTTTGTGTTCTTCTGTGTGTTTTTATATTGGGGGACTTAAAGAAATACTCTATTGTTTTTGTCACCATGGACTCAAAGATTTATGGTGTTCCACTTTCTACAACACAAGGGAGCCCACCTGCAAATGTCCCTCTTTTCACTTCAACAGGTATTAGAGCTCCTATTACTATTGATGATTCTGACTTTGAATACTCTATCTCTGCTAATGGACAAAAAAATAGTAGTAGTAGTTATTATGGTAGTGACTCTGAAGGTTTTGTTAGTGGTGAGGAGGATGAGTTTGAAACTGCTTCTGAAAGGTTATTTCTGTCTGACCCAGATGAGCAAAATCTTGAAAAAACTCATTTTGGTAATCAATTTGTTGTTTCTAGACCATTTGTGAAAAACCCAGATGAAGAAATTGTTGAAAGAGGTAGTAGTGTGGGGGATTATGATGATTCTAGGTCTTCTTTAACTGACCCGTATGCAGAAGATGAATATAGGGATAGACCTTTTGTTGTAGATAGGGGAATTGATGAAGGACATGGTGAATTTAGTGATAGTCCTTTTGTTGTGGATGAGCTAGCTACAGGGGCATCGATGGATGGGTCTGATAAAGAGGGAACTAGAGTTGTTGATAGTGCAATTCGAGGCATTCCAATTGCACAGTTGTCCTGGGATAGTGAAGATGATGAGTACTTGAGTACTGGTGTTCTAGAAGACAATGATGTTTCAGGTGTCTTTAGAATTCCGAATGCAGTGGTGTTGGATAGGTTAGATAGTGCTCCAAAAGTTAGAATCTCAGATGTTTCGGATTATGAATCAGAGTCTGAGAATGCGATACAATCTGGGATGGAAGAGGACTTGATCTTTACAAAAAATGTTGAGATGGTTTTGGGTTCCGACAGTAAAGAAGAGGATAAAGTTGAAGTTGACACTGTTCAGAATTTCATAACGGAGGGAGGTGCGGCCAATGATACTTTAGAAGGAGGAAAAGATTTGTATCAGGTTGCAAGTAAAGAATCTACTTTGTTGGGACAAGAGTTGGACAATGATGAAGAGCTTTTCGCAGAAGAAAGCCAAATTCTTGATAGTAGTGTAGAGGCAAAAAGTGCAGATTCGTCTCGTGATGTTAAGCCTTCTGATACTGCTTACTCCATCCCAAGGGAAGAAAATAGAGTATCAAAATTTAGAGCTGATGAATTGAACTCTGGAAACATCATCTTACTTACTGGAGCTTCTGGGGACAGTCAGAAATCAGAAAGTAAGGAGGATGGGGTTTATCAAGGAAGTGATTGTCAGGATATTGCCACTAGAACTGAAACCGAATCTTATCATGAACCCATCAAGGATAGTGAAGCTGAGAGCTTGGAGTGCACTGATATTTCAGTACCATCAACAGCTGAAGAACAAGTATATTCTTCATCAGATGTAACTTTGTCCTCCAGAGCTGAAGATGATCTACCTAAGTTATCAGATAAAGCACAACACAGGGAGGCTTGTTTAAATCCAGACTTAGAAGCCAACTGCAATGACATTGATACAGTCAAATTGTTCAAAAATGAAGAAGTTCCATTCTTACATGAAAATGATGAAAGTTTGATCTTTGATGGATCCTGTGGTATGAAACTTATCATTGATCAGTTGGACCAACAAATAGCCACTGCCGACTACGATGGAGAGGTTTCTGAGGGTCATTTACCAAAGGTTGATGGTGAGTTAGTGACTGACTCAGATGAAGAGGTAGATACAAACGAAGAAAGTGAAGAGAGTGAGATGTTTGATGCAGAAGCACTAGCTGCGTTGTTGAGGGCTGCTACCGGTGTTGGGCCTGAAGGTAGAAATGTTTCAATTCCGTCAGCTGATGGTACACGGGTTTTTTCTCTGGAGCGTCCGGGTAACTTGGGATCCACATTTCACTCGTCTAGACCTGGTCAGCCAACCAGTGCAGATAAGTTTCCCCTATCTGAGAATAAGACTGAAGGTATATCAGAAGGGATATTGAGTGAAGAAGAAAAGAAGAAGCTTGAGAAATTACAACAGTTAAGAGTAAAATTCTTGCGGCTCATCCACAAACTAAACCGGTCTCCTGAAGATTCCATAGCTGCACAGGTCTTATACCGGTTAGTTCGCGCTGCAGGGAAGTCAGCCTCTCAAGTATCAAGCCTTGACTCTGCCCAGAAGTTAGCTATGGAGTTAGAAGCAGAGGATACAGACAGTTCGAATTTTTCTCTGACTATCCTGGTTATTGGTAAAACAGGAGTTGGTAAGAGTGCAACAATAAACTCTATCTTTGGTGAAGCCAAATCAATGGTTGATGCATTTGTACCTGCGACTACCAATGTGAAGGAGATAATTGGACAACTGGATGGAGTTACATTGAACATCTTGGATACTCCTGGTTTCAGATCTTCCCTGACGGAGCAATCCATTAACCGAAGAACTTTGTTGTCCATAAAGAAATATATGAAGAAATACAGTCCTGATGTAGTCCTCTATGTCGACCGCATTGACACACAGTCTAGAGATCTTGGTGATCTATCATTATTGAAGTCCATCAGTAGTTATCTTGGTCCATCAATATGGCGTAATGCCATAGTTACCCTGACACATGCTGCTTCAAGTCCTCCAGATGGACCCTCGGGGTATCCTGTAAGCTATGAAATGTTTGTTGCTCAGTGCTCCCGTATCATTCAACAGTTAATTGACCACTCCATAGGTGATCCACACACGATGAATGCTGGGTTGATGAGTCGTCCGTTTGCTCTTGTTGAAAACCACCCAGTCAGTCCAAAGAATGACAAAGGAGAAATATTGCTTCCAAATGGAGAAAATTGGAGATCGCAGCTTCTGCTTCTGTGTTACTCAATAAAGATTTTAGCAGAAGTAGATTCCATCATGAAAGATCAAGATCTTCATGACCACAGAAAGCTTTTTGGCTTCCCCAAGCGTTCACTCCCTTTACCATACTTTTTATCTTCACTGTTACAATCAAATGTTCATCCTAAAGTCTCTAACAATCAAGTTGGTGAGGATATGGACTCAGACATTGAGCTGGCATATTCATCTGATTCCGAGCAAGAAGTTGATGATTACGATGACCTTCCACCTTTCAGACCTTTGAGGAAATCTCAAATTGCTAAGCTAAGCAAGGAGCAGAAGAGAGCATATTTTGACGAGTACGATTACCGTGTGAAGCTGCTTCAGAAGAAACAATGGAGGGAGGAGTTGAAAAGGCTTCGGGACATGAAGAAGAAAGGCAAGGCAGAGATAGGTGATTACATGGAAGAAGGTGCTGACCAGGAAACAGGGAGCCAGGCAGGAGTAGCAATCCCTTTACCTGACATGGTGCTCCCAAATTCTTTTGACGGGGACAACCCAACTTACAGATACCGGTATTTAGAACCTTCGTCTCAACTTCTTGCCAGGCCTGTTATGGACTCCCAGAGCTGGGACCACGATTGTGGATATGATGGTGTGAGCATTGAGGATCACCTCGCCATTGCTGGTCAGTTTCCTGCAGTAATAGTTCTTCAGCTCACAAAAGACAAGAAAGAGTTCAACATCCACTTGGATTCATCTGTTTCAGCAAAGACGGGGAAGAAAGGATCAAGTATGGTAGGGTTCGACATTCAAACTGTAGGAAAGCAACTTGCCTATATTTTGAAGGGAGAAACAAAAGTGAAAAATCTGAAAACGAATAAAACAGCTGCAGGGGTATCCATTACTTTCTTGGGCGACAATTTAGTGACAGGATTGAAATTGGAGGACCAATTTTCCATTGGTAAACAGTTAGTTGTGGTGGGAAGTACTGGCACCATCATGTCTCAGGGTAATGCAGCATATGGAGCCAACTTAGAGTTGCGTCTGAGAGAGAAAGATTACCCTGTTGGACAGGACCAAAGTTCACTCGGCCTTTCTTTGATGAAATGGAGAAATGATCTCATATGGGGATGCAATCTGCAATCTCAGTTCTCTGTTGGAAGGAATTCTAAGATTGCTGTTAGGGCCGGATTAAACAGCAAGAAAAGCGGGCAAATCACAGTTAAGACAAGCACTTCAGATCAACTACAGATTGCTATTTTAGGACTTCTGCCAATTGCTAGAGCAATAATGATGACCCTTTTTCCTCAGACAAGTGGAAAGAACTTAATGTAGTTGTTGTATCGTAGACAAATGCCAGTTGCACCTCCATTTTTTTAAAAAAAGTTTGTAGTGGTAGTTTTCTTGTATTTGTCCATTCAATCTCTGAAGTTCTCAATAGAATTTCTCCTTTCTAATCATGAGTTATACTTATGGTACATGCCATCAAAATGTTGTAGGATTTTGTGTTCTGATAAGGAGTTGTCTCGTCTGCGTTTGGAGGACCATATGTGATCAAAATGCTAACAACGAGGGCATATTTCTTCCACAGCTTAGATGGTGGATAAATATAAACAATTTTTCGAAGTACATGGATAAATTTGACCCTTTACATACACACAACAGTAATAATAAAAAATTCTCTACATCCAAATATTCTATCCATCACTTGCTACAGGTGATGGTGAAGTTGCTAAAAATTCTGAGTTGCGTAAGGCCAATTTTGTTGGACGGGGCAATGATGAACATGGGCGGCTAACAACTGATAAATATACCGATTTGCAAGCTGAAAAGTACAGCAATGTAGAAGATAATGAAGCTAGAAATTGGACTTTAGTTGCACATAAAAATTCAGCCGGTAGTCATATAGGTTCCCCGACTAGTCAAGGTAATTCTCCAGGTCGTGAAAAGGATGAGAAGGCCAATACATGGGCAGAACATGCTGAAGATGAAGAATATCAAAATGATGGTAGCAGAAGAGAAAGCTTACATGAGAATAGCTCACCAATTTTGGGCAGTAATCTCAACCATAATGCACCAATTTTTGTGCCCAAGAGTAGTGGAAAAATCACAAGTATGGTGAATACTCCAATTGGTATCCATCATCAGCATAAAGGGTGTGGTACCACGACAGTCAATAAGTCTGGAAAGCAATTGATGAATTCTACGGGGCAGCAGCTAGCTCAAGGGAATTTGGAACAACAAGAAAGTGTGATTGCAAAGAAGAATGAGTCAGGCGCCTTAGCTGCAGGACTTAGTCCAACTAACGCTTATGCTATTGATTTGGGTGAGGATTTTCTTAACGAGGATGAGGAAGATAATATATTAGACATATGCTTTGATAAAGTAGCTAGGGATGTAGATATATCACCTAGGGAACAAAGAAGCGGAAGCAACAAAAGTAAAATAGAAGACATATGGAAGACAACATAGTTGAGATGGTAAAATGACTAGGGAGTTTGTTCCAACGCACCTTCCGATGCGACTAGCAAAGCAGAATCATATGACAATGTCAATAGCTTCAATACAATCCAACAAATCTAAGAAGAAATGATGAACTATCAATTGTTGTTGGCATATTTGAAGAAGAAGACAAGAGAAAAATACTTCAGGTTACTTTAGATGGACAATCTATCTTTCAAATTATTTATACATTTATAAAAGAAAATTTGAGTTTGAAAACTCAACTTTCTTCTTGGCTAACATATTTTTGCATTTTCTAAGAATTCTCATTTGTAATATCATCCGAGAGTGTATTATAAAGTCTATGTTAATCATAAAATACCTAGTTCTCTCTAACTCTTATTTTTCTTCACGCTTGTTAATTAGTGGATGTTTGTTATTTCATTTGGATAGATAAGGTCAGACCAAGTCCCCCTTGCTTGTACTTATCCATGAGGGTTTTTTATTTTTTAAATAAATTGCCTCTAGACACTCTGTCTAGTGGTAGGTAAATGTATTGCGTGATGCACAAGATGATGGTGTATATATACACGTATTACTGAAACATGTTCCTCTGTATTACCTATTATCCACTTTTGGTTTGCACGTGGCTTTTAAAACCTATTTTACTCCACTGGAAATAGCAGTAGACTCTTTAAATGTTATATCTTTGCTAAATCACAGGAATCTAATATATTGATCCTTCCAGGAACTAAACAAGATCATTGTAGTGCCTCATTTGTTTGCATTGCCTAGCCTACGGGCAGACAGTTTATTAAACACTCCTTCCGCCTTTATGAGTTTATTAGATAATCCCATAAGGGAAAAAAGATCAAATCACACAACATGTTCCAAGAGTACCCCTAGATGTGACAAGTATGAATCGTGACTTATAACAACACATTTTGATTTCCAATCCAGGTAGGGAAGGGTAGAGGTCAGATTGCGACTAGAATTGAGTGTTACATGAGAGATTATAGTGTATCGACAAAAAAGAGGCAATGGAAAAATTTCAAGAAATGACTGAGATATCATGGAAGGATTTTATTGAAGGAATTCTACGAAATCTCTTCAAAGATTCTCACTCTTGCTCGCATAATTTATGTATCAAGTTTCTTTTAGCTAGACAAATCTGAAAATGGTGTGAAAGAATAGTCTTCAGCAGTTCCAATTTTCGCCACAAGGAAATGAATTGTCAAATAATAATGTGTAAATGTCAGAATAAGAACAAGACTAGACATCAAAATGTAAAAGCTAAGCACTACACCAAAAATATCTTTAGCAACAACTAATTAACGACAATAACTTAATTATCACTAAATATGTCCCTGAAGTCTCTAGCAACATCAAAATCCAACTATTGCTGGTAAAAACTTTAGTACTCTTTATTAATGTCATATTTATCGCCGCTTAAATTTGTTTTTTATTGTAGTTAACTCCCAAAAATCTACAGACTTGATAATTCTCAACCTTTTTCTTGTGAGTCCATCTAATATCGTCCCGACCCAAAAATACAAGTCATGATGACACCTATGTTCCCAACCAATAGGTAGACAAATTTACTATTAACTAGTTCAATTCAATATATAAAGTAGAAAAGTAAGTGACAAACAAAGTATCCCAAACACTAAGTCTTTTAAAATGAAATGCAGGACAACGGAAATACCACCCAAGATTGGTGTTATAAGTACAAGAGCTTCTACAATATGATAGAAGCCTGAAACTGGAATGACAAGTCTAAATGTAAGCAAATTTGTGTACACACACATACTAAATTATTCCATTATATATGACGTGTACGTTGTGGTTCTTAATTTCCTAATCCGGAAAATGGAAGGAGAAGCTCTGAGGAAACACATCAACTTTTTGATGATTTTGCTCTCCTCTCTGGAATCAATGGCTTTTTTCTGCTCAATGTACATCCTTTCCAAAGATGGAACGCAAGCAAACAATAGCTTTGTAAAAAACAATTCAGTCTTTGAGCACTCATAACAATTGATCACGACATACTTGAGGTTGTTGAGTCGTAGGTCCAAGCAAGTAATCGGTCTGTCAAGGTATTTCAAAACCGCTTCAGCATTGTCGCCAGAAGCACATACCTAATGGTATAAAACAAATATTGAATCAGTTAAAACTTCTCGTGCTTACATAAACATACCACATAAACCTATCTTACTAAGTGGATGCGTTCCATATCATGTTATATTCCAGGACAAAAAACTTAGAGAGGAGTGGAACCGGAATTCAAATTGGCAGTCACAACTATAAAGAAGTACACATATCAAGTTATGATCACTTTATAATTTTCCATTACTTACCGAAATCTGAAGTATGCTCAAATTGGGGCAACTCTTAATCAACTGTAGAGAGCAAGTAGTCTGATGCAGTTTACTCAAGTCTATTCCTAATGACAGCTTTTGCAAGCTCGCAAAAGGACTGCACTTAGAAATTGTGTCAGCCGTCAAAAGCTTCAGAGCAACAAAAATTAGAATAACATGAATACAAATCCTATAAGATATACAAGTATAATAACATGTCAAATGCTTACCTCAAGGCAACTTAAACCCATATGGAGAAACTCAAGTGTAGTTGCGACGCTTAACAGAAGCTTTTCCAAAGTTGATCTTTCATCCTGTTTTGGATTTGGATTGCAATCCAGTACTTTGTCTATTTCAAGTTGTAACTTTCTCAATCCTTTGCAGTTCATAAAGGGATTTAGATCGAGATAGGGACACCCATGTACAACCAAGTGTTCCAATTGTGATGAGACAATAATGTTCAGGTATTGAGTGCCACGACAGTCCACCAAGGCTAAATTGACTAGAAGGGGGCAATCGATAACATAAAACTCAGTGGTTGGTACAAAGGTTATCCTTTGCAGACGAAGGTTTATTAGATGATGGAAAGCAACAAAGGATTTTGGTGGTTTGAACAAACACTTGAAGAGTTCCAAATTTGTCAGGGTTGGACAATTAAGTACACAGGACGGCACTTTATAAGTGCGATTATCTGGCATGTAAAGGCATAACTCCTTGACACCTTTTCTAGTGACATAAACCAACCATCTATCAGTATGTGCATATAAAGACGAACGTACTGATTCTACAAGATGAAACTTCTCAATATCTCCAAGATGTTGTAAGAGAATTGTATTTACTCTTTCTCTGAAAATTTGTTGAGTTGTGCAATATATCCAAAAGGCCCTGTTCAACCACAGATTTGGAAGCCTGGCCCAAATGTATCTCCATTTTTTGGATAAAATACTGGTTTTTGCTGCGTCTTCAACAGGAAGAAGCTCTACGATACGATTCATAACATTTCCTGGCAGTTTACTGATCCTATCTTCTCTTTCCCCTCCACCAACAACTCTTTTAGCATCTGCGAGGAGAAAATGAATAATTTTATGGCATGTTTGGTTAAATGTATTGGAAAAATAATCACAGTACTAGAGAGTACATTCATTGCAAAAATTTAGTTATACATGGATAACATATTTAACATGACAACAATTTTCCTAAATGCATTCAAGTTTTTCATATATTGCCAAATAAAAGAAAATCTCATTGCATCCACCACAAGAGAACACATCTATATACAATAATGCCAAGACTTTTATGAAAAACCTTTATGCCCCGAGTCACATAAATATTATCTCAAACATGTACTACTTTTCTTTATAAACTAACACTTGTATAGTTATTATTTGTAAATCCTCTAACATTTGTAAGCATTTTCACACGAGTTACAAAACTAACACATAAGTTTTCCTGAATCAATTAAAATACAACATAAAAGAGATACAAAGGCATCAAATAGATATTATTTTACCATCATGGATCTCGATAAAAAGAAAGGTATCATTTTAATTAGAAACTATACCTTAATGTAATCGAAAGAACATCAATACCGGAAATTATTTCATGTTGGTGTCACCACTTGCCTAAATTGACTTCCATTAGTTGCAACTTTGGCCAAAGTATTTAATTTTTCCAAGACTTTATGTCGTTCATCATTTATGATTTTATTTCTCGCTTGATGTTCGTAGCACAAAAATGAAAACCTACAATTTTAATGTGAAACAAATTTGTAGACGTATATAACTCAATTGATTATTAGAGAATCATGCTGATAACGTATTATAAAATATGAGCAATATAGAATAAGAAATATAAACCAAAGATATGGAGGTAAAAAGTAGAGATCATTTTATTTAAATGGCTTCATATGTATCTTCCAAAAATCAAGAACTTCCTAGTTTATAGGATGATAAATCACCCAAAGATTACAAAAGTTAAGGTATATATATATATAAGATAACATTCATTGAATAGACATTCACCAAATGCATTGGATTCATATAACACCAAGCACATTTTCAACTATTATTTTTCTTTTACATTAATTTTCAAATACCCTTTTTCAACTCTAACTTTTGTTTTCTTTTCAAATATCATCAAATTCATCCCCAAAAGCCCAAAAGAGGAAGAAGAGAGGATGACATATACCTGGAGTCATGATGTTTGCAAAAGCTGTTTATATCCTTTTTTTGAATTTGATGAAATATAGCTCTCTCTCTTTCCTTTTCTTGACATACAAAAGGTAACAGATGAACTAATGTAGAGTGGATTTGTTTGATATTTTTGGTCCAACAATCTATATCTATATATAATATAAATCTAGACATATACAAGATGACGTGGCACTTTCCTATGACCAATATTATTATTTATCTTTTTTTTTTATCATCTTTTAACTTTTTTTCCTAATATGATGTCTAGAAAATTTGTTAAAAATAATTTAAATACTCCTTATGTATTCCATTCCTTATTATTAAGAATATAATTTATTTCCTTATTAAGAGTATAATTTTTTTTTCTTTTACACCCACGTCCTTTCTCAAGTTCAGATGAGTATCAATATAAAGCTAGAGCCTAGACATATACAAGGTGATGTGGCACATCTTTATAGCCAACATTGCTATTTATTATTTTGCTCATTTTCTTGACTTCTTTCCTTATATGATATCTAGAAAATCTATTTAAAACTTGTAATACACCTTATTATCAAGAATATAATTTATGTTCTTATTAAGAGTATCATTTACTCATTTCCTTATTAAGAATTTACTTTATTTCCTTTACACCCGCGATCTTTCTCCAATGAGTAATATCAATATAAGGGTAAATATATATATATATAGGACGATGTGACACCTCTTTATAACCATCATTGTTATTTATCTTTTTCTCACTTTTAAATTTCTTTTCCTTATATAATGTCTACAAAATTTGATAAAAAAATTAAATACACCCTATTTATTTTATTCCTTATTATTCAGAATATCGTTATTTCCTTATTAAGAGAATTAATTATTCATTTCCTTAATAAAAATATCATTTATTTCCCTTACACCCACGTCCTTTCGCCACTCCTAATGAGTCTCAATATTTAGAGTCTGTTTGACATTGTTGTTGGAAGGCCAATAACACTTCTTTTGGAAAATAAGATGTTTGACAAATCAATAAAACTACTTTTAAGTGGAAGCGGAACCAACTTCTCTTGTAATGTCCCATTTCTTATGATTTGGTTTTTAATTATGAAATGACCATTTTGCCCTTTCCTGTAGCGTTTTCATGCTTAGTTTGTATTTCAGGAATGATTGATGTGGTTCTCAATTCAATCAAGTGTGTTTTTGGTGATTTGACCCTCTTGAGTTGAGAATTCATGATAGGGTTGACCTCGGTCAACATTTTGAGTTACGAGCGTCGGGTGGGAATTTCATTAGTTACATCGCGTCAAAAACGTCGAGTTTGAGTTAGTAGGGTTGTCACGACCTGATCCTACACCTTGGACGTGGCCGACACTTGAGAACCATTGTTAGTCCCCAAGCGAACGCTCATCCTGGCTGGCTAAAAGCGGAAGACTAACTCAAGCATACAAAAGCTTAATTAAAACTGAAATAAATTCAATAAACTCGAATACTCAACCTTTTTAAAAGTTTGTACAATACTCAAAATGAAAGTAAATACAGAAACTCCTCAACTCTGTCTATCTATAAAGCCTCTACTATTATAGAAGGATATCGGGACAAGACCTACGACATCTCAAAACTATTAACTTTAAGATAAAGGTGAAGTCCTCTGGAGTATGAAAAGGCTCACCAAAGTTGATTGGAATATCACTTGACCTCAACGAAGCACCTGTTGATGATCCTAAATACATGTATCTGCATCATAAAATGATGCAGGCCAAATGACTCAGTACATGGAATGTACGAGCATGTAAGGGGAATTCTAAAGCATAAACAAAAGCTTGAACTGATGAAAAAGAAACACACTTACCTCTTCTCAACTCACTCAACTCAATGAAACAAAGTTCAACTCAATAATAAGAGACTCAACTCTGGATACCCAACTAAAGATAAAACAACAATAAAAGATGCAATATATGGAAAGCTTTTAAAAAAGTAGATAACAACTCAATAGATTGAAGAATACAATAAAAACTCAATTTGTATATAAAAATACAATATAACTTTGTGGGAGATTCTCTAATCGACAACCATCACTATGAGCTATGTGATGATACATCGTCTCTCCCACGCTGCCAGAACTGTCCTATACTTTGCCGGGGTATAGAACCTACTACTAAGTGGATCCACTAGTAATATGCTAAAAAACATTAAGGAATCATCTAAAAGTATGACCCTTTTTACCCACGTTGGCTATATGGTTTATGGAGACTTGAGTTATCTAAACTCGTCCCCATATCGATGCTCAATACTACTCCCAAAATGTAACTAGCTCATATGTTTAAAAACATAACTCTTTCTGTGGTTGGAGATTATTACTCAAAATCTTTCTCTTAAAAGAGATGGTACTAAAATTGCTCATGAAAACTCTTTTGAAAATTGGCGTTTCCACTCATCTTAAATGTGAAAACATTTACTCTTGAGAATACCTTAGTTCCTATATATCATTTTAAAGAAAATGAACTCAGCTCTACTCTTCCTCAAACTCATATGCTCAAGTCTTAAAATAAGTTTTAAAACAATTTATAAAAAAAGACTTCTTAAAATAGGGTTCATGCCGAATTATACACGCGAACAACTCAATTCAAGGTTTTCAATAACCATGCATAACACTCAATACTTGGAACTCAACAACTCCAGAACTCAAGGAGTCAATGGTACTACTCGTCTCCCAAAGTTTCACTTTACTACCTGACGCGTCGATGCCCTTTATTGCATGATTTGTTATACTTATGCCCCCGATTTACTCTTGTTAACTAGACGGCTTACTCCCTTGCCAATTTATTGTTTGGCTGGGTGGCCTTGATTTGTTATATTAACGCCCCTGGGTTTACTCTTGCTAGCTGGGTGGCTTATACCCCTGGGAGTTTCCTGTCTGCTGGAAGGCCCGTTTATGGGATTGCTTGTGGTTAAAGGTTAAGGATTGTCCTACTACTCACCCTGCATTCATATGAATCACCTGTCACCAGCATAGTTGTTTGTTGATTGTACCCTTCGGTTTATGGGCGTTGTTTGGGTTATGTTTGTTGTTGTACCTTGCGGGCTTATGGGGTCCGGTTAGGTTATTGTTTGACTATATTATGTTCTTGGTTATTGTTTTCTTGTTAGCTGATAGGTTTTGACTTCAGAATTGTGGATGTGGGTCCTCCTGGCCATGGATAGTTGACTTGGTATCTTAGTTACTTGCGAATAAGTTGTTGGCTTGCGTTCTAGGTACGTGTTGACTTGGCATCTTAGTTGCTTGTGAATATAAATTGTATGAGAATATCCTAAAGTGGTTTATACATGTTAAATTGTGTTAGGATTTGGATTTATATTATGATATTATTTAACTTGTCATAAGTTATAAGTATATTTTACGAGTTTGCAAATGCTCTAGAAGACATCGAAATACCTTAAAATTTAAATTGAAGTTGTTAAACTTTTTTTGTACGTCAATATGAGTTAGAAAATAAATATTTTCATATTGTTAAATCTAATAGTGGAAGGTATTTTATTAAGCATTTCTAAATTAGAAAATATACATAATTGAACAAGAACAAATTTAGAAAATATATAAATAAAATAAAAAACAATTACCTCAGAAACTATCATCAATTTAAATATTTACTAAAACATTTATCACAAAAGAATGACACGATAAAAACATTTTCAGTAATTTAGTAAAATGAATTTAACTAAAAAATATGCCATTTGTAATTACTATAGTTACGGATTGACAAAGATACAATGAACCAAAAAAGGAATTTAATTAATATTATGATTTGGGTCAAATCCTACCAAATAAGGAATCATCATAAATATATTTACATTTTTGTTATTTGAGTTAATTTTCATCAAATAATATGATGATTCTATCTCTATAAATACATCTTTAAAATAAAGACTCAACATCACATTTTTTTACATTCTCAAATCAAAAGTTTAGCCATGAGAAGACCTAATGGCCGCAGAAGAATTCAAATTGTGAGGATGCAAAATCAAACCAGCAGACAAGTTACATTCTCAAAACGACGTGCTGGCCTATTTAAGAAGGCAAGTGAGCTCTCTACTTTGTGTGGTGCTGATGTTGCTATTGTAGTATATTCTCCCAGCAACAAAGTATATGCATGTGGGCATCCTTCCGTCGAGTCAATTGTGGACAAATTTCTCGGAGAGAATCCTACACCCGGCACTAATGATCCTAACCCCATCATTATAGCTCAGCAAAATGCCAATGTTGATGAGATCAATAGAAAGCTGAACATGTTGGAGAGACAACTTGAAAAAGAAAGAAAACATGGACAAGCACTTCAAGCATTGAGGACAGAACCTTCACATGAAAAACTTAGCTTTTCTGACCTTAAAAGCTTGTGTGAGGCCTTGGAAGCTGCGGATGAAGAAGTTGAAAGAGTAGCGAGCCAACTTTTGGAGGCTAATAAGGTATTCCCATATCAAACTATTGGAAGTGCATTCGCTCCTTTAATAGTTAGGGAAAGCACTTCGTTCAATTCCAATGAAGGGCCATCTCAATCAAGTGAATAGATTTTTCTTGCTTTATTTAAAGTTCAGTGACTTAATTTGGTATTTATAGAGTTAAGTATGTCATTTCGATGATTAAGTTTTTTTATATAGGATTTTAATTTTATCTTTGGGTATGTTTATGATCATGGAATGGAATAAGCTTTTATTTTGGTACTTCATTCGTTTGAATTTCTTTGTCTTATTTTTTTTTTATCGGCTTAAAAAAGAATGTCTTTTTACAACACTTAAGTTTATAATTTTCACATGCCATGTTTAAAATCACAAGAATAAATAGCATTTTGTTATATTTCACATAGTTTCAATTTAAGACCATAAGATTCAAAAATCTTGTTTATTTTTTTATATTTTATGTCAAGTAACAATCAGATAAATAAATTAAAACAAAAGAAGGTTATGGTACTTTGTTTGCTGTTAACATTGATATTGATGTACAAGTGTTGAAAGTACAAGTAGGAAATGATTATTGAATACGACATTGTCAATAGCTTGAAGTGCAACAACTAATTTAAAAGAAATTAAGTTCTTATTATCTGTATCTATATTCACATATATTAAACAATGTCACTTTACTATGTTTTGGTAAAGTAAGGATGACCTCCTTACTTATACTTTTTTTTTTGGTTTTCCATCCGGTGTCCAGAGCCCACATTGGAACTCCGACTAAATTTGGATCGCGCTCTGCAAGGCCCTTTCGGGGCTAGTGCTCCCAACAGGATTTTCTCCATACCCAAGGCTCGAACCCGAGACCTCTGGTTAAGGGATAAGTACTCCCACCAGTGCACCACAACCCATGTTGGTCTCCTTACTTATACTTATCCATATTAATAAATTATTATTTTTATTGTTAATAAAATGTCACTAGACGTATTGTCTAGAGGTATATATTGATCAAAAATAAAATTAAATAAATATATCATAAACTTCATCAAACAAAGAATTAAAAGCTCATCAAATCTTTAAATGCAAGCATCACTAATGTATGTAATTAAGAGTTCTCAAATGAAATAGCTTTAATGTAATAATCCTTTTTGTTTTATTTGATTTCTTTCTTCTCATTGCTGGAAAATAAAGGGAATATATCAGTATTAACTTTCTATTTAAGTGTTTTAAAATATTTTCTGACATTATATTTCTTCACTAATCATTTATTGGGATGAATATCTTTCTGACTTGTAAAATATATATTATTGTTTTTGTCTCATAGTCATAGAAACTGATTTGAACCTGCTAATTTTATGAGATTTAGTGTCTAAAATAATATAAAAATATAGTCAATATTATACTTGAATTATGAACATCACACTTCGAATATAAATCTCTGGTGCGATATTTTCTTTCTTTTTTGTTTTCTAATTTATGAAAACTAAGTTGAAATGTTAAGTCGAACATAACTATAAGTGTTCCATAAAATCATAAAATTTAGTAAAAGTTTCAGTTAAGAGAAAATTGTTGTAGACACAATGCATCCACACACACCCACACACACCCCCTGCCTATTTAAGTGTCAACTCTGTAAAAAAGCATAAGAAATTAGAAAGAGTGGTGAATCAAGAAATGCAGTGTGGTATTGAATTTCCTTATCAAAACATTGGAAATGATTTCTCTCCTTTTAGAGCTAGGGAAAGCACTTCCTCCGATTTCATTGCCGACCATGTGGATATTTTGACAACATCCATTGGATTTAATAGCATATGGGGGCACCTCTGGTGTGCGAGCAGAATAGAGATGGGCAATAGGAGTGGCAGCAGGAGATAACACGCATATCCCAACCTCAATTGAATCTAGTAGTTTGTCGTCTTCTTATAGGGGCATCCAAATCATCAAAGTTTACATAAACTGTTAACGAAGTTTTCAATTCCTTTTTCTTATTCAAAAACTTCTTCAGTTTGTAATTCTTGCAATTCAAATAAAAATGCACAATTTATCTTTTTATGAAAATACACTGCAAAGTCAACAGCGATTGCAAATTATTTACAAGGATTTATAGGGACCTTCCCCGCTGTTGTCCATTGATAAAAAAAAGTGTTATTATGCATTGTTTGTTAATCAATTGTCGAAATATATGATATATTCTATAAAAAAAATAAAAGTGAAGTTCAACATGTTTTCAAAATTCTACAACCATTACTTGAATGTCGTTTTAACACAAAAATTCTCTCATTTTACACTGATAGTGGAGGTGAGTTTGAAGGATTTTTTCCTATTTAATAGCATATGGGGGCACCTCTTGTGTGCAAGCAGAATAGAGATGGGCAATAGGAGTGGCAGCAGGAGATAACACGCATATCCCAACCTCAATTGAATCTAGTAGTTTGTCGTCTTCCTATTGGGGCATCCAAATCATACACTAAAATAAGTTAGAGCCCTGTTCAACTCCATGTTTATACCTAGATTTTTCCAATAAATATACACTGCCACCAGTGCTTTGATCCAATTTCTTCAAAAATATTTTATCGAGAGAAGACTTTATTTTTTGAGAATAATTTTCCTTTTCAAAATATTTAATCTCATTTATATATTTTCCAAATTAAATCATAGGAAAACAATATAAAGGAAAACGATCAAAATTTCACATGTGAAGCTGAAAATTTGAACATGGATCTTCCTCCTGCTATTGCGTGTGGACCTTGCCCACAAAGTTCACCCATGCCACTCGCCACAAATAGGGAGCAATCCGAAAGTTCAGGTATTCTCCTCAACTCTCCTTAGAATTCTATGTCTAATGAGGTCGCAATTTCTCTCAAAATTCTCTACAACCACTCAATCCTTTTGTACCTTCTTCACAGAATCAAACACCCATTTTCAACAAGAAAACCCACCCCTTTTAACTTACATACTATGCAATCCACCTCAGATCCTATGTCTTTACCTTCATCGACCACTCAAACATCCATTTGTCTCCTTTAGTATCTTCCCCCATTTTACTTCCTTATACTCCACATTTGTAGGCTATCATCACACCCCCAAGCACAAAACCCATCCAACCCACTTCAGTTGCACCTTCACCATAACATTGAGTCATCCATGGTTACCCGTTCAAAAAATAATATCCATAAGACCAAACAGCTCCTTAGATTTCTTGCTTACTCTCCATGTTATAAAATGTCTTCTTCCTACAAACAAGCTCAGTGTGAACCCCACTGGAATGTTGCATATTGCTATGCAAGATACATTTGATGTCCTTGTGAGAAACCAAATGTCGATTTGGTTCTTAATGATTCTCCGAAGAATGTAGCAGACTGCAAATGGCTCTTTCACGTTAAGCATCTTCTTGATGGATCTATTAATTGGTATATATAAAGCTAGAAAAGGCTTCACTCATCTTCCTGGACTTGACTACCATTCAACCTTCAGTCTGGCAGTCTCGCCTACAACTATTGTTTGGTTATCGCCATCATTGTTCAATGCAATTGTTGTTTGCATAAAGTTGATGTAAATAATGCATTCTTGCAAGGTAATTTAGAAGAACAAGTTTATATGAGACAACCTCTTTGCGTTGAGCATCCAACTTTGTCCAATCATGTTTGAAAACTTAACAGAGTCATCTACGGTAGAAAATAAGCATCTAGATATTCATACACCGACAACACAAGGTTTTTGTAAATCACATTGTGACTCGTCTATGTTTATCTATTCTATAATTTAGGATTGATGTCACGACCCAAGACTACCCCTAGACGTGACATGGTACCTCAGATCTCGAGAGACCCTAAGCTAACCACATGACATAACATGACACTAAGATAACATACATAACTTAAATACCACGGAAAACGGAATAAAGTCTCAAATGACTATTTCAACATAACATAGAAATTTGAGTACATGACACATACGCGGAAATACAAATATTTGAATAAGCCTTTAAGATAAGTGAGTTTCTAGGACAAACCCTAGCTCACTCAAACATGTTTGAATAGTAAAGTCTGAATGAACATAAGAACACATAAGTGGCATGTTCCCGAACCATGATGACTCATCAAAATAGTGTTAGGCTGATACGATCCTATACTTAACATCGACCGGAAGGATGTGCGTTAGAACCTATATTATGAAATAATATAGGCAAAAAAATGTATGTTGTCAATACTCTAAATATGGGAAATTGCATGAGCATGACAAAATAGCATGATAAGTATGAAAATGTGATAATGTAAAGACCAAGTAAAACATAACATGGAAACTGATAATCTGATTGTGGAAACATAGTACAAGGTCATGCAACATTCTAAAATTTGTAGTCATAACATATGTGGGAGATATCATTAACCGATATAAACATTTTGAGCTATAACATGGAGTTCAGTTTACTATTTCCACATCGAAAAGATAGTGTCTTACTTTCCAAGGTAAGGACCATAATCGTGAGCTAAGGTAAATCGACTAGCTAAAGGCAATTAAGACAAAGTCCTATGGGGGCACGTATTTATGAACCTGGGTAATCGCCTGATATCGCCTCTAGTCCAACTCATTGCTAAGTAATCTCCCAACAGAAACATACATAATCATACTCAAAGAATAAGTAAGAATCTAGTAATACTGAATCAGTCATGAAAAATCTGATAACCATAAGCATAGCTCCTTAAAATCATTAATTCATAACATAATATTTGAGAAACTTATCTGAAGCATCTAAATCATGATAATTGATGTGAGGCCAACAATATATTTTAATCATTATTTGCCTCACATTTATTATTTATATTTGTCTTTTTTGAGCATGAATTTTATGGATTATGTTAAATAGTGTATTTTATTTGTAGGGATAAATTGATGTAAAGTTAAAAAAGTTTGAAGCTAAAACGAATTAAATATGGAAGATTGAAAAAGGAAATCAAGCAGACAACTTAATGGTTTAAACTTTATAAAATAATATATATGTTGGTTGAAGTAGAGTTAGAATTGCAATTGAACTTCACCTACTGGGCCACGTGTCAGGCAGCAACAGCAAATGAACGCAACAAGAGAAGAGGCGGTTCACGCGTACAACAAATTCCAAC